TGTCTCCGATGAACTCAAATCCTACCCCGGTGCACCTAGGGTGAACCAACCGCGCGTAGCCATCGTTTTTTGTGTCAGGACATCTTGTACAGGTTGACTGTGTCAGGTGTTGAAGGTTTTGTCTAGAGAAATATGCTACGTCTAGACAAGTGCACTTGCAGTCGCGTAGAGTTCGTGTCTCGCCGATGCGTGGGGAAGAATATGTGCTGTAGAAGCTGCAAGCTCGATCATGGTGCAGTTGTTTTGTTGATTTTTCGCATTTGTTGCTTGTCGACGTGCTCCTTGCGCAGGAGTCATCCCGGAGTCACTTGCAGCTCTCAGCGAGCTGGAGGCGCTTCGGCTCATCAACAACATGCTCACGGGTGACGTATTTCCATTGATGATATTTGGTCCTGGTCTGTGCAAGCATACCGTTGCAGCAGAATCAACGGTAGCGATAAAGCTGTCGCGGAACCAATTTCTGGTGAAGGATGGAAATAAGGATTCCTACATGACTTGTTTTACCGATGCAAAATGAGCCCTCGCGAGGTGTCGAAGCTCCTTCTCATGATGTTTGTTTTCTTCTCTGATTTGTTTCAGGGCCAATTCCAGCGGCTCTGCGTGCCCTCAGGGAGCTGAAGGTTCTCGTGCTGTACAAAAACCAGCTCAGTGGTGAGAGAGAGGATGGACTAGGGGAGATTTTCTTGGCAGAGGATGTCTGCCGTCGATTCCTTGGCAGGGCATGACGGCTAACAACGTACCATTGGTATTGAATTGATTGGCGCATGGCTTTCTTTTGACCACGCAGGGAATGGCTTCGTGTGCAGGGTGCATCCCAGCGGAGCTAGGGGAACTTTCTAATCTGGAGCATCTCAGCCTTTCGGACAACAGCCTTTCCGGTGAGAGGGATCAAACGTGCTTAGTTGTTGTGTAGAAACATTGTTCTTACTGAGCACTGCAATTTCCGTCACGCGACAATAGCATGCCTTACGAGACCTGCTATTTGTGTTATGCTGCTTGACCAGGGTCCATCCCCAGGGAGCTAGGAGCTCTAAGTAAGCTGCACACGCTTCAGCTCTACCGCAACATGCTTACGGGTGAGACACGTACCAAACGTAACTCTCGGTCCCTAGACTAAATAAATAGACTACATGCCCTGCCGACGCGCTGGCGAGACCCGACGTGTTCTAGCATGAGAAACGTCGTCGTTGAGGTTATCGCGAACTTTGCTGTGCGGGTACAGCTTGTTTTTCCGCGCTGTCGAGGTGTTTCATTGAGCTATTATTGGTACGATGCTCTTGCACAGGTGTGCAGCCATCAAGAAGATACAAGCACACCTTGAAAAACCATGTGGAAATGTGTCCCATGGCTGGTGGGGACAATCTCCGACACCACCCACGGGGCACCCATGGGCAGCCCATGTGCACTTCATGAATTGCCCATGAGTCTGCCCATGAGCGGCCCGTCGGTGGGCCCATGGGCAGCCTTTGAACTGCCCACGCGGTGCTCACCGTGGTCACTTCAACCTAGAACTCGCCACGGCATATCAACCTGGAACTTACCATCGGCACATCAATTTTGCCACCCAGTGCCAACCTAGCACGTATCGTGTGGGCTTGGGGTTAGGGTTTAGGGATAGCGCTAGGCTCTTCACCCGTTATGATGCCCGTTCCTTAGCAGATAATCTGTTGTTGAGGATTACATTGGTTCCGGATGAAGGGCACTCATTGGCCGCCCATGAGCTGGCCATGGACTATCCATGCGCATGGGCAGCCCGTGTGGTAGCCATGTCGCACTCATGGGGCACCCATGCGCGGTTTAGTAAAAATTGAGAAAGTGTGGGAGACCCGGTGGGGAGGACCTTCCGTTCCATGTTCTCGAAAGCGCCACTGTTCAGTTTGACCAAAACCACTCTTGCACCGATGTGTAGGAAGCATCCCGAAGGAGCTTTTTACCTCGAGCAGGCTGGAGACACTGTGGCTCAACCGCAACAAACTATCCGGTGAGTGGGGTAGGGCTACCGCGTTCTGCATCCCTGATTAATAGATATAATAGGGTTGTGCAGAAGGCTGCACAACCACAAGGGTATTCTGCGTGCATCGAGCGCAAGTTAAACTATTGAACGGAACGATTGCAGGTTGCGTTAAGAGGGGCGTGATCGACCTTGCCCGGACGTCGGGTTAGATATTATTTCGCATGTTTGAATTGTGCGATGAAATGTGTACACGAACGAAGAATGGGTTGGGGTGCCTGTGTTACCGTGACGAAATTTCTAAGGGGAGGTGATGATGACGTAATGTGTTTGGGAAATAAAATGAACGAACATTGAAAGCGTGTTCTCGCAGGGAAGGACACAGCGCCTCTCCACCAGGACATGGACGGACAGAGTTTGTCCATTCGGTCCAGATGTATAGAGATCAAGAATATTGTCGTGCTTCGAAACATGTGGATACACTTGAACGTTTTTATCAGCGGGGGCTCGGAGGAAAATCTGCCCTGACGAGCAAATTTGTTTCTTTCTGTCATCGCACCCGCTCTCGGCCCTCCTGTCGAGCCCTGACGGTACAGCACTTTTCCTTCTCGGAATTCCGATTCCTCCGTCTGTCAGTCTGTCTGTCCCCCCCCCCTCTCTCTGTCTGCCTTTCTCGATGGATACGCCTGGCCATCGCTGATCCACCAATCCCTCTACTCCAACTGCCGTCTATTGGAAGCGAGGTCGTGTGTTGATCCTCTCGGAGTCATTCCGATTCCCGCAGTCAAAATGCCGGCATCAGCTTCCCTCCTTTCTCGACGGCCACAAGTATCAGCCTTCAATCGGCTCCCCTATTGTTGTAGTCTTCGACCCATCCATATCGCGTTGCCAACTCTTCACCGCGTTATTTTTCATGCGCTCGTTCCGGGTTTGCTTGTTGGCTGCAGGTCCCATCCCGCCCGAGATAGGAAACGCCACAGCTTTGACATCCGTCAAACTCCACCGAAACGAGCTCAGCGGTGAGTCGCAAAGGTAACTTTTCATGTCATATTCCACACCAAAATAGAAGCCACAAGGCCGCACACGGAGTAGGTGTTTCTACAACAAGACACGCGTTTGGACACATTCTTTACTATGTACTCTCAAGAATATATGGCGCCGATTGTCAAAGAGTAAGAAAACTCTAGCTTTCTCCCAGACTCCTGTAGAACTCCTGTGCGTAGTTCCTTAGGAATATGAATAAGCACTGAAGAAAGATTGTGAGACGTGATCGCTCGTGTCACGGAGGGGGTTAGGTTCTCGAACATTGGGGTACTCGCTGAATTGCCTATGCAGCCCAGAGCTGAAGCAGGACACAACATGTCATCATATTTCAGTAGTTTCGAGCCACGAAGATCACTTTTGTAGAGGCATCATGGCAACACTATTTTTTGACATTTTGCTGTGCTGCTGATGCAGGACATATTCCCAACGAGCTGGCGGCTCTGAGAAAGCTGGAAGAGCTTTTGCTAGCCAACAATCGGCTTATTGGTGAGGACGTGGCGACAGTGTTGCATGGTTCGTTCTGCAGCACATTCTCGAACACTGCTGTAGCACAAACCACTATCTGAAAATGACGAACACTCCAAACGCCACATAACAATGCTTCCGAATACGGTGTGTTTTTTAAAGCTAAAGCGCCGTCTGTTGGCCGAGATCTTGGGTCCTGCAATAGGATCGGTGCATAGAACGCATAGCCTAAGCTTGGGATATGACATGGTTTGCAAGCCTACGCGGTGTATGTTGATCTATACTTGATGGGGTGTCCGTGTGCATGTACTTGGACGTTTGCAGATACGCTCGCCGCTCTCTCTCTCTCTCTCTCTCTCTCTCTCTCTCTCCCCCTATCCTATCTTTCGAACGTGTGGTGGGAGGGTTGCAAGGAACGTGTTTTCTCCTCTCCCCCCCTCCTCCCCTTTTAGTGCAACAACTACCCGGACGAAATTCCATGCTTCCCGCCTGCGGTGGCCTGAATCCGCCCGAATCCTGCCCATGGTCACCGATAGCGGTGGAATTGAAAGAAGCATTCAACGGGATTGTTCGTGCCCACCCGGGGGTCATATCCTTCCTTCGCGATACGACTAGAGTAGGTCCCAACAAACCTCTCGCTTCAACTTCGTATTCCTCTGAACCTTCGAGCTTGCGAATTGCTCTCGCAGGATTCGTGCCGGCACAGGTGGTGAAGCTCCAAAGCATTTTGTCTCTGGACCTCGAAAACAACCCGCTCAGCGGTGAGGACCGTCAAGAATTTTCCGGGATGTTGATGGTAGGCGTGTCGCTCGTGTTCACTTGGCTTTCTTGGCCGTTGGCCACAAATCCGCACCCTGTTTCTTCGAGTTTGGTTCAAACAGCATTCCATTCCATACCCGCGATTTGCAGGTCCGGTGCCATCTGCGATTGAGCTGAGGATGCTTCACGATTCTCTGTTTCTCCGGGGTGACGACTACGAAGGTTTGTGGCGCATTCGGGTCTATGATCCTGAGACGAGAAGGGTAGTCGTGTTCGCGTACAAGTGCATTGTGTACGATCGGATGTAGCCTCAAGGACGCCCAACGCTTTGTTCCGCTTTCTGGGCGACGCCGTCGCAGCATGGTCGGAGGAAATGGTCAAGATATAACAGCGCTTCAAGAGTCTCAAGAGCGCGAAGTCCTCAATCAGATCCTCCATCACAAGTGTTGAGTCGACATGCTCGACCGAAATGTCTACAAGCTCGGGCACGACGTCTACACCCACGAGCTCGCCGTCTTTATCAACTAAACGTGAGGCTTCCCGAACTCGGATGTATGTAATTCCTTCCCTTCTGACGATGTGTAGATCACTAGTTATCCGTCCGGTTGGTCGTTTTGTGCCATCAGCTTTGGACCAAATGCAATATGACGCTTCGAGAGGAATGTGTGCTTTGCCAACGCAACTTTCCGCCCAATCCGACCACCGCGTAGAAGACGAGGCCGTCGCATCCAACACGGTGAAGCAAAACAAGCCACCGCGCATACCCGAAGCAAGGGCGATTATGGACCATCCGGACGAAGACTCGGACGCACTGATCAACACGCGGATGGCAGCCATTTCAGGTACGTACGTCGTTGCGAGACATCCCACGCAGCCATCGCTCGGTAAGCGAGGTTGAGATGTGGCTCACTTGCAACAGTAGTGATCCCAGGATATTGCCGGTGCGACCCAGCCGATTCCTCCAGCATTGTTGCTGCCAACTTGAGGTTAATCTTTCTCTGTTACCGAGTAATGGTCCCTGAACTGGTGAATAGCCGTTCTCCAGCGGAGGTATTTCGCTCTTGTTGTGAAGTGGCGAGGAATTGGCAAGCGTGGCGGACTTTGGTGGGCCTTGCTACTGTAGGTTGAAGGGTGAGAATGAGCCTCAGAGGACTGCTTTCATCGTTCGGCTGGTCACAACAGACGGGGGATTTTTCTTTGTAAACATCTTCAGACCCCGAGAACATCGTATGGTCTCGGATCTCTACGGGTGTAGACTATGTGCGTCACTACCACCACAGTAAGCAGATACCTATATCCTGGTTTCCACAAACCCGCATCAGAAAATGAAACCGTTTTGAATATTCCATCCGTGCCAGGCAATTTGAACGACATTATACCGGCAATATTCGGACACTACTGTACTGACCTTTTGGTGCTCTGGTGTACTTCCCAGATTTCGAGGGTGAAGTGGTGGCATGGTCTTTTGGAGATAGTCCGGATGTTCTTCGCAATCATGATTTAGATTTTGATCTCGAGGTGCCCGACCTGGGGAGAAACGTCCCTACCCTGATTGGCCTGTGCTCAAGCTCAGCTGAAGTGGTGGACGGGAAGCAGTGCCTTCTTCATCCTGTCGTGAGATGCCTCGCCCGGAACGGGGAAAGCTTCGACCCCAATCTCCGTCTACGGTTGCCCTTGGGAGACGAGGCCTCCATGGAATCGGGTTCCGATGGCGCCAGTGATGACGATGATGATGACGTTGCGTACCGCGCATACCTTGCCTCCAAGTTCACTGTGGTGACGCGAGAAGACGCCAGTTCAGGGTGGGTCCCGATTGACGGAACTATCCAACAAGCGGAGGGGGGGGTGTTCGTTTTGGAGGTGGCCGTGCCTCACTTTTGTGATTTTGCCCTTTCGCAAGGCATCAGTGTTCCTCGCGGTTGTATGGAAATCGTCCCACTGCCAAAGCTAAAAGGGAAACCCAGGCGGTCGCACTTCCACTTCGTGAATCAAGGCGAGGAGAACCTTGTTGCTCACTGTAGGGGTGCTGTTGAGAAGACGGGCTTTTGGGACTTTTTCAAGATCAACCTAGGAGCGGGTGCAACGTCGGCGAACGTCGAGTTCGAGGGACACCGATAGCGCGTAGACATTGGTAACGGTGCGGTTTTCTCGGTGGAGGTGCCTTGTAGGGATCCTGCGAGTACGAATCCGAACAAGAGCGAGGTTTGTCGGGTTTTCCTTGGCACGGAGTCAGTAACAGTGGCATGGACATCGCAACGATACCCTCAAAATGCTAGACACCGGATACCGCAAGTGTGGGGCTTCAGCCCCATGCAGCATAAGCACGCCATGGTGTTCGGCCCCTTGTCGGGTATTGACACGTGTCAGGTTTCAAACCTGAAGGTAGATGACGGCGAATCCTTCGGAAAACTTGTGAAGTCAAAGGTGGAATGAGACGCGCGCAAGGACAGAATGTACATATATCGGTTGCCTATCAATGAGACGCAACCTGTCCCCCCGATGGAGGAAACACTGCCGTTTCAATCCCAAGAAGCGCGGGAATATGGGAAGTACAACCGAACTATTTGGTGCGGATGCGAATGTATGGGGAAAATGTGGGAGTGTGCATGGGTTTGGCAGGTAGTGGCTGCTTGGCGAGACAGTATATGTCAGCTGCGGAGTACAATGTACCCGATGATAGTCGCTGAAACGAAAGACGTCACTAGTAACATTTGTGTCCATGGAATATTAAGTATTTGTTCGGTAGATATTTCGTTGATTTCCCATAGGACCGTTGGTATGGGCCCCTTATTGCGTCTCAAGATGACATGCCGAAGAAGCAACGGAGCATATATTGCATGTTTTCAGCTTTTATCTGTTTGCGGCGAGAGACATGTTCGACTCGAACATGCGGTCTTTTCTTGTCCATTCTCTCGTCTTTTGTATCTTCAAAGCCCGACACGGGTCGAGTTTGAGGACTTTCAACATTGGTTCGGCGGGTGTTCCCTTGGTGCGACACGTCCCCGGAAAAAACAGAGCCAGCCTTAGCAACTTTTGGTATCGAGTGACATGCACAACAACATACTGGCTAGCCTCTGGCTTACCATTGAAGTAGGCGCGTGACAATGGATTCACTGCCGCTGGAGAAACCAGTGTGAGCAGAAGAAACAAGAACGTCGAAACGTAGCGTGTGCATATGTAACCCGTGTCCTTTTGGTGGCGAACTTGTCCGAAAATTGCCACCAGTAAACAACACCCGACACAGTGCTAACAATGTGCTACTGAGAATTTCGCCCCTCCCTCTTTACCCCCCCCCGGTGTTTGCCATCGGGGTTGGGTTTTCGTCGCTTGGCAACGACGTTGTAAAACAAGCCAATTCCCTTGTGAACTCGGCAACCAGGTTACCGTTTTTTTTTTTTACCTCCGGTTTTTTTTTTGGCGGTAACCATAATGGCGGTCGAGTAGATCATGTTGTGCGGGGTGGAGAAGCCTCACTGCGCGCAAGGGGGATGATCGCACCACGTGGTATTAAAATGGTCAAGCACCCTCGAGGCAGTTACACAGTGCTTACAACT